GGGCCCGTGTTGGTTATAGATTAGGTTACGGCACCTAATATTTAGGGGTACGGCACCTAATATTTAGGGGTACCAAAATGGGACCCTAATTTTGGGAACTACCCACATGCAAGCAGCCTGCTGCTTCTGGCATGTGATGAGGATGGGCGGATCGTTCTCCGCGCTCCGTCCAAGCAGTCCATGAAGGAGCCAGCTTGCGTTAGACCTGGGGATACTGGTGATGAAAGTAATAGTAGCAATAATAATGATTATAGCAATGATAGTATTAATTGCTAGTGATCATAATAATAATTGCAAGGCAAATGATGGAAAGACGCAATGCAAAACCCTAAGGACACACGAGGTAACAACGTGACATGACGAGCCACATCCCCACAGTAGTCTGACCGACTTGCCCGCCCTTCGCCAGTGCTTTTGTGCAGAGGATGCCATGTCAGTTCTCGCTCGAGTGGCGCATCACTGCCCGACGCCCAGAGGCGGCGCAGCTAAGAGCCTTAAATCCGCGACGTACAAGGGACTTCGAGGCCGAAGCATAGTCTTTGTGCAGTGGATGTGAAGGCACACAATACTATCTGCCAGCCGTCATGCTGAGGTACATGGGGCTGCAATCCTACAAAGGCGCGTCTTCAATGGCCCTGTGCACTCACCAGCTTCTGCCCAGGTAGTGGGATTGTGGTTGTCGAGCTCCAGAAAAGCCAAGATTCAGTAGGAGCAACAAAATCATAGCGATCCTCAGTCAGTGATTGTGTAGATCATAAATCTTGAGCCTTGCTTGACAGGTAGGATTGCTCTTGCGCACCCTGGCTGCAACAACACCAAAGTACGTGTTGGTACATTTCACCTGTAGGTTTGTAGCCATGGGTTTTGAGACCCAAGTACCTGCAAATATCCTAGTTTAGGGCTAAGTATCATGGCCCAGGGATCCTAAGGGCACAAACCTGAAGGGTACAAAGGCGAAGGCTAAGGCAGTCCACTAACAAGCTGCATATGACCCTAAACCCTATACCCTAAACCCCTAAACCCTAAACCCCTAAACCCAATGTCTGAGCCAAGGCGAGAAGCCCGAGAAAGTTATCCACACAGTCGTCGTCCGCTTAGCTGCGACCTCAAGCAAGATGCAGACTCAGGCTGGGCGGTGGGGGGGGGTTCTGGTTCAGGGTTTCGGGTGTAGGGGTTCAGGGTTTGGGGGTTTAGAGTTTAGGGGTTTAGGGTTTAGGGTTTAGGGGTTTAGGGTTTAGGGCTTAGAGCTTGTTCCATGTGAAGCGCCTCACTCCGTCATGATTGGCCTCAAGACATGTTTGCAATGAACGGTTGAGCTGGCTTGGCACCTTGCATTGTGGAGTTTTTCCAGGAAGGGCGGGTGAATCTCCACAACGACAAGCTCCGCATTGGCACGGACGCGCACCAGTGCCAGGTGGACAATTTGATTGTGTCACCAAGAGTCTTGTTGACAAAGCAACCCAGAAGGAAACTGAATTACGTAATGCTCATGGCATCACCCATGAGCCGAGCAAGCACTGCTTACACTTGACTGTGGCTACAAACTGCAGGTTGTTGTGGAGGCCATCCCCGGTGTCAGCCGCAAACATGTGACCATCACATTTGAGCAGGAGCTTGCCTCAGTCAGGAGCATCTCTCCAACATGTTTGATGAATCTTCATATGATGAAGCAAGAGCCCGCCACGCACGTTTGGAAGCTAAGGACAAGGGTGCCTGTGACCTGGCTTCAGTAAGTGCAGCAGCTGAAGCTGTCAGGGTGGGATCTGCGAAGCGACGCATGCGCTCGTGCTGGTTGACCACCTAAACGGTGGAAGATCATGCATGCAGTTCAGAAATCTTCTGCAGCTCTAAGCAACATGGCACACATCATGCACAGGGACGGGATTTGTTGGAAAGCTCCATGACATCAGATGCAGTTGCAGCTCAACAGCAAGCGATCGTTCTATATGTTCTATGAGGCTTCACAGAAGCGATGCGTAACTGCATGACCACGTAACACCCTTCAGCTGACTCCCTGAGTTCTCTGAAAGTCCCGCGATGCCATGGGCTGCAACAAGAGCAAGCCAAAGCCGCCACCTGAGCCCGTGGTGCCGGCTCCTCTCGTTGTTGTCGATGAGGAAAAGGCCGGGGAAGCCAGAAGCATTTGATGTCGTCTTATATCGTTTGCTACATGGATTCCATGTAATCTTCAAGCTGGAGGCCTACCGGCTAACACTGGCTTTCAAACCTGACCAGGACCTGTTTGCGCCTGAAGCACTACCGAGGCTCCGGGTCAGATTCAGAGTACACTGCTTGATTATGCCAGCCAGAGCTTCAAGTTCCCCACCCTTTGCAAGTCACCCATTTCTGTGTGCAGTCCTCCGGCACCGCCGCGGCCGGAGTTCAGGCCTGGTCACAAAAGCAAACATACTTGGGGGTTTCCCAAAATTAGGGGTACCCTTTTAGGGGTCTCCATAATAAGGATTATAGTATATAGGGGTCTATATTGGGGTCCCCCTATTTGGGGAAGCTATCACTTGTAGGGGACAGATAGAAGATCACAACTTTGCATTATCAGATCTGCGCTAGCATTGTCCACAACTTGGTGTTCAGCTGCCTTGCAGCTCTCAGGATAGGCCTGGGGGCCATCTTCCCGGACTTCGAATGCCGGACCACAAAGGGCCACTCGGTGCCCGCTGGGCTCAGCTTCATACAGCACATTGGAGTCCAGTTGTGGAGGTGTTGTCAAACAAGTTTCGAAATTCAAAAGCACCCAAAAGGCACAAAGTAGCATCCAGCAGAGATAGAGGTGGGAAGGCATGCAGGTGGACTCCAGTGTCAAGCTCCATGTGGAGGGTTTGGATTCCGGCCTTACCGGTTACTTCCAAGCATGACAGCAAAGCTTATGCTGCAGCGCGGACCTGGCAGTCTCAGCTGTGAGATTAAGTGATCATCCCAGAAGCCCAAAGCCCTAAGGCCACATAGAGGTTATATAGGGGTTATATGGGGGTTATGTTGGGATAATGGAAAAGAAAATGGAAACTACTATGACTTATACTATAGTAGTAGTTTCCATTTTATTTTCCATTATCCCAATCTAACCCCCAATATTTCCCTAATATAATGGAAAAGAAACTGGAAACTACTATTTAGGATTTAGCAACATTGTCCAATTTGGGGTGGCAAACCTGCTTTGTAGCAATGGGTTGGGTCCGGGGGGGTGACGGCCAGGCGGCCGGCCGAGAAGTTGGACAGTTTAGGGTTTAGGGTTTAGGGCAGCTTGGTGTTGGCTGTTGGCTTGGAGCAGTGCGCTGTCAGTTTCCCAAAATTAGGGGTACAATTTTGGGGGTCCCCATAATAAGGACTGTAGTATATTGGGGTTTATATTTGGGTCCCCCTGTTTAGGGAAACTCCCATTTGTGCAGAAATGCAGGCTGGAGAAAGACATGAGCGGGTCATCGACGTTGATTTGCATGGTGTCTACGCCATCGGTAGAGTGTTTGGAAGACGGCAGTGTGACGTATGTACATACGCTGACAATAAGCCGATAAGACCGGGTCACTTCTCTTTCCGTTGTATATTGGGGTTATTTAGGGATACTTGAAAAGGAAATGGAACTACCATAGTATATATTGGGGTCATATAGGGACAAGCCCAGGTGACTTCTCTTTCCATGACTTCCTTGGAATTCAAGCGAGTCACGGTTTCACGATGCTCTTCTCTCATCCCAAGGACCTGCAACCTTGTTTGGGAGTTGACCGTCAGTTCAAGTGGCAAGATCAGGAACACATTTGGGGTAATATTGGCGTTACATTGGGATAATGGAAAAGAAAATGGACACTACAGGGATTATAAGGGTCATATGAGGGTTATATTGGGGTACCATTTTTGGGGGTCCCCATAATAAGGACTGTAGTATATTGGGGTCTATTTTGGGGTCCACCTATTTAGGGAAACTACCATTTGGGGTTGTATTAGGACAATGGCAAGAAAACGCCCTCAACCCTAAAAAGAGCGTTTAAAAAACACCTAAACCCTAAACCACTAAAAACGACTGCACTTCAGGACTTCACCCCGGTGTGCACCACCGAGATCGGCGCGTGCCAGGTGCTGTGGAAGGAGTTCCAGCGCCGCGGGGTCGGAGGCTTACAATTTTTCTCAAGCTGCAAGTTAACCCTAAACCTTATATAACCAATTGTAGTTGTTTCCATTTTCTGTTCCATTATCCCTATATAACCCTAATGTTACCCAAATATTCCTATATAACCCCTATATTATCCCTATAACCCCAGCAGTTTCTATTTCCTTTTCCATTATCCCTATATAGCCCCAACGTTACCCCAAGGGGTTCCTGCATCCCATCTTTGCCTGAGGTGCAGCTCATAGGCTTGAGCTGTGATTCCGTGGAGCAGCACAGGAAATGGACCGAGGACATGGCGCCTTAGGCTTTAGAGGTTATATTGGGGTTATGTAGGTGTTATATTGGGGGTTATATTGGGGTTATAGGGGTCATATTGGGGTTATATTGGGGTTATATAGGGTTTATATCGGGGTTATATTGGGGTTATATAGGGGTTATATAGGGGTTATATAGGGGTTATATTGGGGTTATACTGGGATAGGGGGAAAGGAAAATGGAAACTACTATGAATTAAGGGTTTAGGGTTTACTGAATCAGAGATACTCAGAGGATGTCTGTCCGTGACTCATGTGGTAACCTCCTAGCAGGATGTCTTAGCCGCGAAGAACATCAAGGACAAAAAGCAGGCTTGCATGCAAAGACAGAGAGCTTTTGCAAGATTCTTTCTAAACATGTGTGGTATTGTGTGGTTGTCAAAATTATAATTATGGTCCCTTTTGGGTACCCCAAATATTAGATGCCGTATGATGCCGTATTAGAATAGGGATCCAAAAAAGGACCCTAATTTTGACAACCACACACATGTTTTCTAAATCCCTGCGTACAGTTGGATTTCCCCATCATTGCGGATGAGACTCGGGAGATTGCCAACTTGCTCGGCATGATGGTGGCTTGGCCGGATCAGAGCTAGGTCAACTTGACAAGCAATGACAAGAGCCTAAATGGCCATGTGGGGGTTTCCCAAAATTAAGGGTACCATTTCGGGGGTTCCTTCTATTTAATAAGAACTATAGTATTTTGGGGTCTATATTGGGGTCCCCTTATCTTGGGAAACTACCATGTCCATGCCACCGCCCAAAGGATCCGCTGGAAATAGACGACTTCGACAGGCTAGCGATGCCTGCGAGGGCTCTCTTCCTCATAGGCGCATCGTGGTGCCGTGCTTTGCCCTGAACTTCTGAACGAAGCCCAGACCCTCCGCAGGACCTGACAAACGCTGCCGCAGCACAATCCTTTACCCAGCCACCACAGGCCGCAACTTTGCAGAGGCCATGGCTTTTGAACATAAAAGCGTCCGTTGGCTTCCAGCATGTGCAAGACGGGAGGTTCTTCGGGTGATTGACTCACTCTACCTCACGAGCTGCGTCCAGGCCCACCATCGCACATTCTGCTGTATATGATCCCACGTGAGTAGAATTACCAAACAGCTGGTGTATAGACAGCAGCACCTCCTACATGTCAGGTTGGCACGCCAGCCAACTGGCATTCTGGTGATGAAGTCCTGTTGGCGATGAATGCCCCTGAGGCAGCTTGACCTGTTTGGCTCCCCTCTTGACATCCATGAATCCTAGGAAAGAGCTGAGAGTTACTCGGAGGTCAGGGTACTGGGCTAGTAACAATTGGACGAAGACCTGCTGCTGTCATAATTCAGCCTTCCGGGTGAAGCGACTCGGATATCATTACCATATTACTACTATATTGTTACTACATTACTACTGTATTGTTACTATATTACTGCTAAATTGTTACTATATTACTACTATACTGTTATTATATTATTGCTATACTGTTACTATTATTACTATATTGCTACTATATTATTACTATATTACTACGATGCTACAGAGATTGTGGATTGAGGCCCTGTTCAATGCAGCAACGGAGAAGCCGGTTCACTCCGGCAAGCGCTACTTGGCTGTCTTCGGTGTTGCTGACAGTGTTGCTGTCTTTGCTAATAAATACAGAAATGAAGATAGTAATAGTAACATATAGTCATAACAGCATAGTAGCAAAATAGTAAGAATGTGGTAGCAATATAGTATTAATTTAGTAGGAATATAGTAACAGTTTATTAACAAAATAGTACTAACTAATTTGGTCCAGTTACGAAAGATGTTCGGCATTGAGGCTACATGCGGCACTTGCCAGCACCGGAAGTCCGAGCCAAGCAGTCCATCCCTCCCATGGGTGAGGCAGGTGTGGGCCTTTTTGGGAGCTGATTGTTATTCTTGTTATTGTTATTGGTATTGTTGTCAGTTTTGTTGTTATTGTTATTCTTGTTATTAATTGTAAACGCTAGCGCGCGCCCGCCTCGGCTGGCGGGGCTTCCCACTGTAGGAACATATAAGTATAGATATACAGGTATTTAAGTTAGGTATATAGATACAATCATATGCCTATTACATACAC